TTYTATTCTAGCCGACAACCGTGATTTTCCAAAATAACTCTCCGTAAAATGAGAAAGAAGAATTTAATTGAATTTAATTCGTCGTGAACCGTGATTTTGGTTGTAGTTTCGACAGTTATTAACAATGACCGTGAATTGTGAAAGGACCAATTCATTTCCCGTGAAACGTGATCTTGCCTCCCCCCCTTTTGTACCACCCTCTTTTTTTGTTAAAAACTCGAATCATTTGGTTTAAGATCGTCGTATCCACTATCTACACCCCGAAACTCGTAGAACCCACTTTTCACGTAACCTGTTAATTGGTTTCAATATTTCATTTCTACAGGAACCTCTCATTATAAAAAGAAAAGGAATCGCTTTCGGATTTCTTGGTTACTGTGACTCGCCATCAGTTTTTAAAAACTGTTCTCAAATGAGAATGTTGTTTACTTCTGGTCCTGCCATTTATCGAGATGACGTTGCCACAAGGGACATTAACGAGTTAAAGGTTTTTTACCGCAATGCTAAATATCTTTACAGAAGGAATTTCAGCTTTTGAAACGTTCTCATTCGTCCAATTTGTCGTTATCTGCAACTTAGAACTCTCCCAGGAATGTCAATTAATTAATAGGCGAAGCCAAATAATTCGATGTTCCATTTTTCCCACAATCACTCAAGGAAGGCTGCGTGTGTGGAATTATAATTTTGACGCTGCATTTATCCTCGGAAAACAAACCTTAAGAATTCTCTTGCCAATCGCCATTCGTGAGGACCATCCTGATATGCGGGAGCCTAAATCTTATAAATAGCCTACCTTTCGCGCGGAAATGTGTATGTCTATTTGTCCGCGGACTTTACCTCTTCCGAGAACCGAGTCGCGTTCTGAGAGCAAAGGTACAGAAAAACTGTGATTTTCCAGGAATAGAAAACATCCAAGGTCAAACATATGAGCACATTTTTTCTCCAAATGGAGGCTATTGTGTTTATTATCTATAAAATATTTTTTCAACGAGCGGGGAAAATGTTTACGCCGGAACAGCTTACAGTTTGCGGCATTGGGTGTTTACTTTTCAGTGAAGTCTGGTACTACTTTATGAACAAACAGATATTCCCCTTCTTCTGAGAGAATAGCTAAATGCTCTTTCAAATTGATTTAGATTTTAAAATTGCTTTTATCGTAGTAAAGGTAAAGTTTGAAAATGGGGAATATCACTTGGGGTATATCCTCGGATGTTTCCTAGTTTATCCGGGGCATATTCGATCTCGTGATGCGTCTGAACCAATCGCGTGCGAGGAAAACTGTCAGATGGATTAAAAAACCTGTAACATTAACAAAAAACCTATAAAAACCTATAACATTAACATTGCCTTTTTAATTTTTGAAGGCTAAAGTTGACGTCATAGTTGTCCTGATGCATTATGGGGAAGAAACTTATTTAAGACCGATCCCCTACCAGCTTCATATAAACAAACACCTGATGTCTCTTGGCGTGGATATAATCATTGGAGCCCACCCACACGTGGTACAGGGACATTGTGTCAATCATAACAAGCTAATTGAAGACAGCTTGGGGAATTTCCTGTTTCATCCAGTCCCTTATAAAAGGGGCAGCAATCCAGTTACGTATTCATCTGTCCAACCAACCACGTTTCCTCTTTTTCTTTTCCTTTCTCTTCCTTCTTTTTTTTTTTATTTTTTATTCCATAAAAAATTGTCAAATACTTGTGGAAAAAATTCGTGGCTGGTATGACGCGGCGTTTCGTCTCAGCCAAGAGACTCATCAGATACTTAACGAAAATTTCCAGTGAACTCGTCGAGCATCGAGCTCAAAGTCTCGTTCGCGAACAAGATGTTCGCAGTCTGGCCCTCTATCGCAGAAGGATTCCCAACCGCATGTTTTCGAGTTACAATATATACAATGAAAAACTGTGAAATACTTGTTGTATATTTTTCTTTTTCCTATTTCCCCATGTGGCCATGTAACCTGCATCGTGTTTTATATGATCTGTATGGAATAGTCACTATTTATCACCTAGCGGGGAACTTTGGGGGATAGGATCACATGGTTGTCAGGGGAACGGAAGGGGTATCAGCGGTC